TCTTCCGTAGCATTATGATTAAATGGAAAAAAATTGAGACGATGTAGGAAACGTTTTACGTGTGAATAAAACTGTTTCACCATTTTTTCCTTTCCAGTGTATTCTCCCTTTCTCTAATTGTGACATTTATGAGAACGTCTCCTAAACATAAATGTGTGCAACACGTGTTCGAAATATTTTGTGCTTTACAAAATAAGAAATTAATTGTAAAAGGATAAGGCTTGTCAAATAAATAAAAAGAAAGGTACATAAAATGAGAGTGGTTTTAAAAAATAGGGAAAATATAAAAAAAAAAAGGTGCAATGTCTACGCAATATGGAGGGGGAATCAAAAGATGGGTGAAGTATAAGCGATAAGTGGTGAAATTTTGAAAAGGCGATGTAGTAAAATATCAATAAAGTCCAGACGACATTGCTGTAACTTAGGTCAGAAATGATGAAATGCAAATATAAAAAAAAAATAATCGCTTAAATTTAAAACAAATTGTCATGATATATATAAGTGAAGGACTACACAAAAATAAAGTACACTTTGTATAAAGGAGTCTCCAAGAAACAAAGACAGCATAATACAAGTGCATAGGCTATAGACATACACAAGGAATGTGACGGGGAAAATATATCACAGCATATATAATTTCGCATAAAAAAAAAAGTTGTAATAAAATTGCCATTCAGTTATTTTTTTGTAAATTGCACATTAAGTTCTCATTAAAAAAATTTCTGTTTAAGAAAATGGCAATCAAATAGAATGCACGCCATGGGCACGATGAAACACACCACTGCAGAGTAAGTGTATCTTTTTTTTTTTTTTGCATAAACGTTTATAAGGGAGATGCATCCACATACGCACGCGCATATTTTCACATGAAGGTGTCGCTTCTTTGGGATTATAGTAATGAATAAGATTCTTGCAATAAAAAGCATCAAGGAAAATTTTAATTATGACAAGGTATTAATATTCCCTTCTTAATTACGATGAGGAGTAGTGGAATGTATATATACATCATGGCCAGAATTTGAACGCGCCCAAGAAGCACATAGGAAGGACTTTGTTTTCTTCTGTATCAGGGATTCATGAAGAAACATCTGGTTCTTCTGATTATACATTTCTCGTTAACGATAAAGTATACACACAGTTACGCGTGAGTAGGTAGATACATCTGCATTGAAGAGGTTATAAAAAAAAAAAAACATCTTACGAATGGCTTGTTTCTTCTAGCTACGGAGGAGGCATACAAAAAGTTGTTTAACGGAAGGGGGCGAGAGAGGAATGTACTCAAAGGGTTAAAATTGAATTACAGAATGGGGGGTGAGGATAAATTTCAATCCTAAGTCTATAAGCGTTATCATCAACAGCAGTGTTGATCTGGCATCAATAGTGACATGGTTAGAGGCATATTTTATGTTCACCGCTATACATAGCGCCCACTTGGAATACCTTGAAACTATTTACAATAACATACAGCGTTGTATACAGTTGCGCATACTACCCCAATTTTCTCTTCCTTCTCCGAGACAGAAGGGGCCTCTTTTTCTGGTATGATACCTATTTTTGTGCTTTTCCAGGGGGCTGACCAGCCCTGCTACATCTGCATCCTTTTTAATTAAATGGATCCGCTGGATTCTACCTTCCATAGATAAGCCTAGAGGGAAATTAGAAACTTGAGGAAAAAAATTGAATTATATCATGAGGTAAATGCACAAAAACATGTGGGTAGGGAACGCGAGGACCAGACGCGACGGAATGAACAAGGGGGTTCGCAACTGACTATATAACGAATGAGCATGAACAGGGCTGGGGAATGCAAAGCGTAGAAACAAGCATGTGTAGGCAGGCACCCCACAGTTTTGTTCACTCCATTGTAATCACTCATTTTTTATATTACTTTTCTTCCTAGCTTGTTGCCAATAAACACAAGGGCGTTAAAAATCAGCACGGCCATCACGACGGCTGGAACGTAGTTACGTTGGCATGCTTTTTGTGATTCAGTTACACACGCTTTAAAGGCTTCCCTAATCATGGTCTCGATTTGGGGGCCATAGCTGCCAATGTTGATTTCTTGCGGGGCGGTTGCCATTTTGTGATGTTATATAATATGTACGTATATATTAATAGTAAGTTTCCGTATGCTACGTTTGAGAGGTGGTAAACTGATGTACGACGCTGCGTTAATCTTCGCTAACTGAATTTTGTTTTTATGTTTTGCTTATAATAAAAAAAAGTCTTCTTCGTCGAAATAGTGATTAGGTTTACAAACGGGTAAGCGTAAAATGATAATGCAGAATTAATTTTTTTAAATGCGCCTTTTTTGTTATATATCAAAAAAAATATTGCTTATTTCGGAATTAATTAATATTTTCAAAATACTATTTTTTTTTTTATTCCGTAGGCAAAAAAAAAAAAAAGAAATAAAAATAAAAAAAGTAAAAAACGCATAAATTAGCGAAAAGTATTTGTATAATATAACAAATAATAAAATTCTTGAAACTTTTAGAATAGTGATCTTGTCCATATTTATGAGTTCTTTTTTTATTGGTCAATATTTTTTCTAATGGGTTATTTTCTATTTTTCAATTCGACATAAAAAATATTTTATTCTTGCGATACGTTTTTTTTTTTTTTTAGCAAAACGGCCACCAAACGGGAAGCGCTAAATTATGCAGTGCGAAATATAAAAGAGAGAAAATAATTATTTCAAACAATAGTTCTAAAATAAAAGTTTTAAAAAATTATAATAATGCATAATCGCGCGGCAATCATAAACGGCAATTTTAAAACAGTGTTTATAATAGCAATTGTTATTCCGATTTTAATTTTATCGTTATTTTACCCGAAAAAAGGAAAAAAAAGGAAAAAAAACAAAATGCGAAGAAAATACTTTGTAATTCTTTAAGGAAAAAGTTCAAAGAAACCCTTTTTTTCTCATTTTTGCACACAAAAATAACCAAGAGGGATAATGTATATATTACATATATAACGACGTTCACGTTATACGTATTCAACGCAAACGTATATTTGTATGCATAATAAATAAATATATTACAGCTAAAACCAATTCTTCAGAGATATTTTTTTTGACAAACATAAAGTATAAATGAGTGCGGGAATTGTCATCTACGATGATGCACACTTGAATTCAAAAATTCTATGTCTGAGCTAATTTGTAAGATATGCAAAAAAAAAAATATGTATGAAAGGAGCAAATCTCGGTGGTACATGAAAATAAATAAAATAAAAATACATTGTAAAAAAAGAAAAAGATAAAAAATAATCGAGGATAGATGGAACATGTAAAGATAAAAGTGATCTATAAATATGCATAATATTATATTACCTATATTTTGCTATTGGCTCCGTCCCAGACAAATGCTCTTTTTTTTTTTTCTTGCTTACTTTGTAGAAAATGTGTTTCACGAAAAAATATATAATTAAGAACAACAAGCTGCTGAAAGCATGTGGTAAAGAAAAAAAAAAGAACAAATTTGCATTATAGCAACATATTTTTGTATGTTAATAATTTGATCTTTTGTTCCTTTGTTAAGCAGACACAAAAGGGGTATTTTACTTTCATGTGAACTGAAATAAAAAATTCCTTTGCCCCCAAATGGTTCCCCCATTTTTTTATTACTTAACAAAAGAAATGTGCTAAATTTAGATCAACAAATATTTACCTTGTCGAATAGGTGAAATTTCGAAGTACAAAATTTTGACATATGAAGTAGTAATGTGAAGTTACCGTTTTGGCTTCCTTCATTATCCGCACTATATTTTGTTATGTTATTTTTCTCGGCCCATGCCACGACGTGTGGACCTGCACAATACGGTTATATTAAACATTTTAATTTTTTCAGTGCATGTACAAAGGGGGAAAAAAAAGGCTCTGTGAGGCGGCACGACTTACTTACACATGTACACTGTGAGGCTACCCTACATTGGCTACCCTCCTAAGTTAAAATGCCTCTACGGTTCATTTATCATAAAAATATTTCTAGTGACTGTTCGCTAGAAAAATGGTACAACTAAAATGTGAGACGTGTTTCTTTGTCATTATTGCATCGACTCCTTTTAAGAGAAAATTTCAGTCGCATGTTTTATGCCCTCATCAAAGGGGAAGTTTGTTTGCAGGGTATGGAACAGAGTAATGTAGAAAGTTATTGCTCCTGGCGGTGGTAGTGTAATTATTGCGTACATTCTTACGTCGCTGCTATGTCATATGGATATAACTTTCATTGCAACTATGGGGTGAAAAAAAATGTAATCTTTTTAACATTTGTCCATTTCAGTGCAGTTCATTGCAGAATAACTATCTTGGGCGCTGCCAAAAAATTGGGGAATGAACATTAGGTGTCTTCCGACAAAATGGCGATAAAAAATCACCCATTATGCAGTTTGGCACCGGCATGGATAGTCTGCTATGCTTATGAAGCTTAACAACATTTGCCATTATTTTTTTTTTTTCAAAAATGAAAAGGGGAAGCACGAACGGGTTGTACGCACCAATCATTAGGGTTGACTAAAATGTAAAGCGCTCCATCGGTTTGAGTCAATCGTACAATTTAACAGCGCTGAAGAATCAGTTTTACAAAGTAGGATAAATGCGCATAAGGTTAATGATAAACAGTGGGCTGCTTGGGAATCCCCCTATGGTCCATTTTGCGATGCAATTTAAGTGGTCACTCGAGGTTGTAGACAATTCAGGAAATAGCTCAAATGCAACTTTAGCATTCTTCCAGTCAGGAAAAAAAAAAAAAAAAAAATATATCACCATTCGGAAATAAAATGTAACTTAAAATTTTAAGCAAACTAGCAAATCATCTAAACGTTGTTTTAATAATGGTGGAGATGGTATCAGCAATGCCTCTTCGCTTCATTTATTTTGTGTTTACTGACACATATCACGTTCGTGCAAAATCAAAGAAAGGAGTTCAAAGTTTGTATGTGAAAAAGGGTAAGTCAGCGGGGTTACGTTGCAAACATGCCTTTTTGTTGCACATGCATATGAGAAGATTTAAAAATATAGTTTACAGGAAAGTGGGAAGTGCCACTGTTTCTGCTCTTCGATAAGTAACGCAACTAATATGGACGTTTGAAGGAAGTAATTTTTATATGCGCAATAAAGAGTAGTAAGTAAACATGTAGAGTAAGTGTCTTCAAATGCACTCCTTCGAAGGGCACAATTCGAGAAGAGATGGATTTTTCGTGCACCGTCCGCCTGTCAGCATATCGCAGTCTGGGATACATGTGTGGACGACATGTGTGTTTTTTTTCCCCAACATGGACAAGGATATGCTTTACGGTTTCGAACGAAATTTTTACTCTGCATCTGAGCACCACCTACATTGACATTATTCGCAAAGGACTCACCAAACGTACGCAGCGTACACAGACACATACGTAGAATCCAGCATCGTTTAAACAGAACCATAATGTTAAGACGATGAGTATGCGTGTATACTTCCTGCAGCATTCACGTGCTGTGAGTGGGAGGGTATATTTGGACCTTGCGGAATTGTTGCGAATTCTATATATAGTTCGTTTAGCAGTTTACGTAGCGTTTGTTAATAAAATGGAGACGAACTTAGACAATTTTTTTTCTTTTCACTTTGTTTGAAGCGTGAGAAGGCGCGGAGTTAATACAAACAAGTAAATTGAAAAACCTACTTCAAACCCGTGTTTTCAATTTTGAGCAGATTTATCCATCCATATATTTAGTCACGGTGCAAGACAGAACAGGTTAAACTGTTTATTTTATTAGGAGGTTAAAATAAAATAGCGCTGTTCAGTGCCCCCTTCAGAAGAGCTACCCATTTAGAGTTCTTCTCGGGGCAAGTGGGGTGACGCAGGGTTTGCCTACTTTGAGAGCACTTTTTTCCCTTTTTCTCAACCCATCGCCGGCATTCATTTGCTAAATTAGGCGATTTGTTTCTTCCCTAAGCTGCCACCTATTAGCTCTTTTTACTGAACAAATAGGATTTTTTCTTATTTTCGCATTTGCATGTATATAATAAAATAAGAATAGCAAAAAGAAGGAGAAAGGACTTTCTGTTCATGGCCATTTTTCTATCGACTGAAATGCCTGACACCCTTCCATCTTTATAATAAGCCATACGAGATAGAACACTCGCTTATTGAAAATGCAAATTATTGCCAAAAATGTGAACTAGTCATTATAAAAGAGGGTGGAAAAGAAGTAGTTATCTAAAAGCAGAAACGCTGGAAAAATAGCACGAATATTATGGTCAACATTCTGAGAAAATATATCACAAGATCGCGGAACATAATGTCGTAATGACACAAATGTGAAGGGCACCCTCCCTTCAGTAAACAACTCTTGCGGTGGCGCATGCGCACTAAGTAAACCGTACATACAAGTTTCTTGCATTAGAATAATAAATGCTATACATGTAACTTGCTACCACTGGGTTCTATGCGGGCATTGCAAGACAGGTTATTTTTTGAATGAGGACATCGAAAAAGAAAAGCAACATGCAGTCTAGATGCATAATTATGTTGAATTAAATTATTTGAACAAATAATAATTAAAGTTAAAAATGTGCGAGCCGGATTACAAACATGTATTACTTTCTTCATATACGAAAAAGGCGTTTTAAGCAATTAATTGGAAGTTAAGCAAATAATAAATAGCGGCGTAGTTCTTTTATACTTGCGCGGCGTGCCCGCATAAGTATACTATATGTTATGTTTTGTACAATGGCTGTATTTCCCCTTTTTTAGTCGAATATATCGTTATTTTTTCATATTGCTTACTTTTTCCATACTGTTACTCACTTGAACTTGGTCTTGACACGTGGGAAATTCACTGGTACATTACATATGGCTATTATTGCATGTAGCTTTTTGTTTACAATTTGTTTGTAGTTCATTTCTTTGTAACCCCTCGGAGAGTATAAATAGCTCGCAGGTTAAATTATGATAAGAGAAAAATATGATAAAAAATAAAATAATGGAATAGACGACGAATAAACCAATAAACGAATAAATTTTTCTGAGAATCTTTTACTATTATAGAAAAATTTGTTATAATTTAATCTTGGCAAATTTTTCTAATTTTTAAGGTAAAATACAAAGATATAAAGAGAAAGAAATATAATGATAGATGCTTCGTTTTGCGCTATCTTTCAGAAAAAAATAGAAATTATCCCTTTTTTGTGATGTATTTTATTCAATGTATAACATGGGATAAATAGTCCATATTATTGATAAATTTATTTAACTCAATAAATGACCGTGTTACATAAGGAAATATACCTTTTGAAAGTTTCCCTTTTTCGAGTATATAAAATTTTTCTTTTTTTTTTTTTTCCAAATTAGGAAATAAAAATTACCCATATGTATCCCATTTAATATTCTAATTTTCCAAAATGGTTGATAATAAGAATAACTGCTCCAGGGGATCCCATGGATTCAGCAATGGAAGTACGGGAAGTTTAAATAAAGTCAACTTTTTTCTCAAAGTTTTCGTCCTTATTTTAGTAATTTTGGCCATCCAATGTTTCAACGAAAGTGTAAGTGGAGTAGGAAATTAGTTATCATACCAACTGCGCGAGTACGCTTTGCGTATTTTGTTGAGATACTCCTCTTTTACATCACTTCGCGCGTTCTGCGCGGATGAAAATGTTCTATAATTTTTTACGGAGAGCCTTGCTCACGTCCATTTATATGGCCTTTTTTTTTATGCCTTTCTGTACGCAGTTCTCCGGATCTGTGCAAAAGAGCTCAGGAAATGGAGTCAAGGTGGCTGAAAGACTGTTAATGGATGATTTTTATGACAGTACTGTAAGCCTCTCCGTATCCAGCGAGGAGGAAGCTTCATGGAACAGCTTAGCATCTGGTAAGTATCGGAAAAAAAGTGGAAAAAGTGAAAATAAGAGGCTGGCAATGCTAGCACTGCTGCTTCTGCTTCCTTCTCTTCTTATAATCCTGTTTTTCCTGCTGCTAGAACTTCTAATAATAAGAATATTTCCTCACATGTAGGTGGCAGCGAAAACGAACTAGACAAATCTGGAACTAGTGGAAACGTTCCCCTATGCAGTACCCTTGATGGCGATGTCCAAATACCCGAAGAAGAACATGTGTCCGGAAAGAAAAGGAAATTATCCAGAGATGACGTCTACGGAAGCAATGTAATGGGAGAGACCACGATGGACACTATGGAATATGAGGAGAATTTCATGAGGCAGTGTAGATATAGAAAGAGAAAAGAAAAGTTTCATAAGAGAGTGTTTAGATTCCTCAAGAAACACCACTACATTGTTGCGGCTCTTTTGGCTGCTATTTGTGCAATGGCCTCTGGAATCCAAGTAGCAATAGGAGTGGTGATAGGATATGTAGTGTCCTTGGTATTCCGATAACTATTCAAAAAATAGGTGTAAAGAAATACGCACCACTTGGCTTGAAAAGGAGCGACTAGGCGTTAAAAGCAGCTGTTTGAGACTGATTTTTGCCGAAAGAATAAATTTTTGCTTTACGCATAGGGGTAGCTAAAGAAGGAAAATAAAACAGGTTTAATATTTTGTTAATTTTTTTTTTTTTACGTGATACAAGTCCATTATAGTAGAAATTTTGATTTGTTACATAAGATACCTTCAGTCATTGGAGGTGGCAATTTTTTTAGAAATTTTTTCTGTTATATAATATATATCTTATTTGATACTTCCGGTATAGTGCCAACATTACATAAATGCAGAAGAGGTGCATTTTTTATTTCAAGCACAAAATTTCGTAATTTTGTTTTTTCAAAAAATTTGCATGTATATTTATTCTTGTCCAATTTTTCGGCATTGCTTAATATGAAAAAATGATTAAGAAGGTTATTATACTTTTTTTTTATTAATTCAGATATGTGGATAATTTGTTTTCTTTTTTGAATTTCACTTTGATTAATTGATAGGTAAAATTTCATTTTTTTTTTCACATTTATTTTGAATTAACTTTAAAAAATAGTTTGATTACGATAGAACAGAAAAAGGATGCTCACCTTAGCCATATATCTGTACTTCTTTCATTCACGCAGACCTTGTAGAATATGAAAAGAAGGCCAGTTGTGGTGGTCACTGGATTGTTCGTTCATATGAGAAAAGTGCACTTTAAAGAATAATTTATGCGGAAACTTTGTCATTGTTGTTTAAAATAATCAGAGAAAAAAAATTGACGATATTTTTCTGCTTTTGAGGTTTAGAAGGAACTTGGAATTAAATGGCCATAAATAAAATGGCAAGATCATTTTTTGAATGGGGCACAATGTGAACCTATCGGGAGTGGCACAAAAAATGTACTTGACTTTCTGAAATTTCGTTTATTCTTAAATATTACCATTTGGAAGTTCATACAACCTTAGGTTTGCAGTGTACACGGATGAGATTTTAAGTAAAATGGAATAAGAAAAAAAATAAAATCAAAAAAAAAAAAACGTGCAGATGCACCTAGAAAGTTCCATGAATTAATTAAATGTAAGCTGATGAACATATTACCAAAATGGAACGGAATAATCGTGCATGTGTGGAGCATATTAACATTTTTTTTTTCTTTTTTTTTTACGCTAGGAGGGGCGTCTTTACTTGCCTTCTTAGATAACGTTATTTTAAAAAAAGAAACAAAAGACAAGTAATTTTTAGAAATATAAAAAAGGGTGTGCAAACACAACGAATTTTCTATTGGACGTGATTCAAAGGTGTAGAAGCCCTCATGGGAGATTTAATGGAACGATTTATTAGTATCGATTCTTTTCGACCATACTACATATACCTGTGGTGTTTCGCAGGGTAGGAATACAGACATGTACCCATAGGGGCATTTATTTTTCCGTTTCATTCACACAACTTCTGATCACTTCGTGAATCTTGGACCATAAAAATTGTGAAAAATAAAAGGTGGCATAATAAGGTGGACAATAACACTTATAACAAAGTAGCGGCTTCTTTAATTCATAAAAATGAGCTGCTACTTTTTTTTGTGAAGCTAGCATTTCTTCAGCATACAAAAAAGGCAGTTTTGTAAAACGCCAGGATAACTTTCTTTTCGGATGTTCATCAACTGTAAGGATAATAAAATTGTAATGGCTCACAAGTTAAGAACATTTTTCATATTTATAAATTACTACAGAAAAGATTCGTATATTAAAAGTACTCATAAGAATTATACTTTTTGTGGTATATGGCAAGTACGCGCGAGATGAGGGAGATTCTAAAATAAGAGGAGAGTTATATTTCTATTTTTACTTATTGGAAAAATACGAACGTGCACATGTAAGTATATATGTATAAATATGTACCGTGACGACCCTTATGATGTATAAAATGTGCAAAGCGCCTTTTAGGAATTACTCAAAATTGAAACAATTTAAGTGGTGTATTTTTTATCATTCTGCTCCGGAAAAGGCATCATTTATCGATTTTGGTTCAACTAAATTAAAAGATAAAATGATTCGGTATATAATATTATCGTTTTTTTTTGTTTTTTTTTTTGTGTCATATTTTTATTAGTGAGAAAAGTATTTTGATATACAAAATTTTTGCATGCATGAATTTTTTTTAAATTTGAACTTTCTTTATTTCCACCTGAAATTTAACCCTCTAAAATTATGCATTTTCGTAAAATTTAAAAAAAAGATTTATGGCAGAAAAATAGGAAAACGATAGTATTAGTATATCACACCTTTATGGACGTAATTGAGAAGGACACAATTACAAATATAAGGCGGTTATCATAAATCTACATTTTAGTTATTCCTTTTTGTTAAGAAGTGAAATATTTAGGGAATATTTAAAAGATAGCATTCGGATAAAATATTTGTTCACCACTATTTTCACTGCATTTGCTGCAACGGTATAAGAACCTATTTTACATATGTTTTATACATTAATTAATTAAAATTTGGAGTAAGAGAGAAGTTATTTTCCCATCCCAATTTTTTTATAAAGCGGAATAATATGCCATATATTATTTTAACGACATTGCGATGATAAATTATAGAAAAACTGCTAAGAAGGAAAAGAATTATAATATTTACGTAGAAAAAAAAAATAGTAGTTTAAAAAAAAATTCGTATATAGTCGAAATGGGGAAAAAAGAAAAAAATGATATTTCCATATTAAGTGCGTTATGCAGCGTTGCGTAAGAATTATTTTTTTCGTTTAAAAATTGTCTTCATAAAATGTTTTAACCTATCTTTTTTTATTCATTGTTTTTTATTACTACTACTTATTCGTATCATTATTTTATTATTTTTTTTTTTTTAATTAAAAAAATTCATGAATTAATTTTTCAACCTTCCTTCTCTGCTATAAATTAATTTACCATTCTAACACTGTTTCGAGGAAAAGAAAAATTAGAAAAAAATAGAAGAAATTAGAAGAAAATAGAGGAAAAATTACAAATCGCGCTTTTTTTATTCATGAAACGATTTAATTAACAAATTTCTTTCAGTTTTTTTAACGTATTAGATAAAAAACTAGCAATTTTTATAAAAAAAATATTTTTTATATGTAAAATATATTTTTTCTAATAAAAAAAGAAAAATATTATTTTCATAAGAGATATTATCTATCTTCTAAAGCCAAAAGGTACGTACTACGTAATTTTTCTAGTTTAATTTATTTTCATAATGTACAGAGCATATTTTTTTTCGAATATAAAATATATGTATATGTATTTTAGATAATGCCTACTCATGCTTTAATTCATTCTTACTTCGCAAAACATACTAATTACAGCTTTTGTACATATGGTCATTTCCTTATCCCTTACTATTTTTAGTTTGCTGCGAAATATGTAAAAGCGGTTAGAGTTATTATTAACAAGGAAAGGACGATTCTCCTATTTCGAATGCTTCCGCAACAATTTAGTAATCCCACTAGGAATCAAATCAATTGATTAGAAGACATAAAAAACAATTTTATTTGTATATCTATGTAAATAACATTTAGGCATTATAGCCCCCTGTTATATGGTATATATCCTCCAAACTCTTCAGGACACCCAGCAAAATTTTTTACCTACATATCAAAGATTTTATCATCTTGAAAAAATGAATACCTTTAGCCACATGGTGAAGATTGCCCTTTTTACCCTCTTCATCGTAAGAAACGAAACACATGTTAATGGGCCACTACGCCTTCGTTCATATATGTAGCATATTTTTAAGGCGAGTGTCATAAAGTGCTTCTCCAGGGTTTCTTCCATGGGGGCGATTCTCTTTACCATTTAGCAGTGTTTGGTTAATGATACACGTATGGACGTAGAGAGACAACAAAATCTACATTTTTTGTATCTCTTTTTTTTTTCTTCACTTTCTTCCCCCTTTAGTACATCTCGGGTAACAACGGAATTAGCGAATATCACTTTGGGAGAGGTTTCGGCAAAGGAAATATAAGATGTCTTACCCAAATGAACAGAGAATTTGGAAGACCAGAATTTAGCGCGCAAGGTGAACGAAGCCAATTTGTCAACGGGGAAAACACAACTGAAAAGAAAGATGGCAACAGAGAAGGCTCAGATTCTCAAAACGGCCCATGGAATAACTACTACCAGGGCCCATATGGATCCGACCCACAAATGCACGGAGGAGTCTACAGAAACGGTGGTGCCCCAGAGTATTACAACAACAACGACAACATTAGATACGTATCCCCAAGAAATAACTTCAATAAGGAGTTATCTGAAAAATTGAAGTCCAACGCTATAATTATCATTCCAGCGATGTTGATAGGGTTATATTTTCTGAGAAACACAAACCCCCAGACTTTAATAATGTTAGCCGCCATTGCTGGTATTTTAATGTACACTAACCATTACATCAGTTAAGAAGCTAAACAGTATATATACATAAGATATATGTATTTATATATATGTATAATACATATCTTATAAGTAAAGAAAAAAAAAAGTCAGTCCGTAGATATGATGGTCTTTTTTTTTACCAGGATTCCCTAATTTTTTTAAACACTGTACAATATATTCCGCGGATTTCTGATAGCTGTGCTGTGTATATATACACATTATCTACCCTTATGCTTATTTATATTTATTTTACTTCTGTGTGCAGCGATGATTTCGAAAATAAATAATCTCACATAAGGACGACATCGCTGGGTAGTGGGGAAGAAGAAAAGTGCCCCTTGATTACGGCGGCGTTCTTTTTTATGCTTGCATTGAAATGAGATAAAAAGGGGTTTTAATACATAGGCGTAGAAATACATATATAAATAAATATATGCATACTCCCAATATATGTCTTCTTCCCCGTATGCATGGGCGGATATATGAAGTTTTCACATGCGTGGCACATGTATATATGTGTATGTTTATAAGAGTGTATCATTATCCTGATATATATGTTTATGTGCACGTATATATTTATATGTCCTTTTGTTTCTTGTATGCATTGTGTGGTATTTTTTTTTTTTCCTGGTGATCTATATTTTTTGTTGTAATTTATATAGATACGTTATTGCATGCTCATATGTTTAATTTGTTTATGCAGAAAAGAAAAAGAAATTATGCTATATAAACTGAAGTAAAACCTTCATATCATCCCCAGTAATATATTATGTATAGTTCTTTTTACTCCTTCCCCTTCCTTACCATTATAATATTATTTTTTTATCACTCCTACGTAAATATGGAAAAAATGATATGGCCCTGCAAAGATTGTTGGCACATAATTCCCGTCTGTCTGGAAAGATGTAAACCCATTTGAATATTTATAAATATCTATGTCTGTGTACGTACGTATGTTACGTAGGCCTCTGTGTATATTGTATATATTTTCAAGTACGTACTTACATTACAGTGGTGCTTGGTAGAAGGAAAACAATGACCTGGCGAATTACCTGGCAGTAGACATATTAATGTGGCGCCGTATGTATTGCACTCATGTAGTACCCAATAAGTGTATACAATCGTTGCATAAAAAATTACAACGGGATGGGGTTTAAGAATTAATGTATTATTATAAAGTTTTTTATTTTTTACACTTTTTTAAATTACGTTTTAACTTTATGTATTATTTATGGGCTAAAGAGTGAACAGGAAATCGCAAAAAAAAAAAAAAAACAGCACCATTATACTTGCATGGGTTTAAATTGTATGAGACGTATAATGTGAATGATTTATAACACATATTTATTTATAAAAACATCAGATGAACAACAAAAGTTTTGTAATTAAAAATACTTTTTAAGGGCACACGTCGGGAATCCATCAAGGGGGGGATATGTTCTCCCTTCGAGCGAAATTTTGTGCATCGCGAGGAAAGCAGAAGGGTGTAGAGTACACACGCAGATGCGCATATGTAGTGTACGAACGTTATCATTTTATCTGTTCAAATTGTGATCATGTCTTGCAAGCAGAGTTCAATAGTGAATACTACAAAATGGTATTGTTGGGAAGATAAGAGGACGTCATTCATTTTTATGGAGCAATAATGATCCCGCTTGCCTTACATTATGGTGTACACGCTAATTTCTTGTCAAAGTATGCTTTAACTGTTGGGATGATAATATAGTAGGTACATTCCGAATTTATAGAAGTAGCATATGAGAAATGAACAGGTTCATAAATGTGATGATAGTATTCATTTAGATTGCCACCATTTGAGGCTTGTTTCCCAGTTTGTGATTTCCTATAATTATGACAACATTGGACTTTGCGGTTGGAGCTTCTTTGGTTTTCAAAAAATGGGAAGCGGTGCGAAGCTGAATTAGGCCATTTTTCACTGGAGTGTGTGAATATGTATACATATGTGTAACGCACATATGCTGCCCATATTAGTATCTTGGATGTTTTTTTTATTTTTTTTTCTTAGTTGCCAAGGTCATGGTGCAATATCGTCGTGTCTACATAGGTACGCTTCTCCCGTTTCTTTTCTTATTACGGCTAATACGTATAAAAAATCGCCACTCTATCGTTACGAAGTGGTGACTTCTTTCCCATTAATGGGAATATAAAATGAAGTATGTGATTTTATACGCTATAAAACTCTGCCCTATTTTATTATCCTTCCGGGTGAAATTTACCTATTCGTCATTTCGAATAAGGGATTACCGTTCCACTACCGTTGCATGGGTGTAGGTACATTTACGCGCATATTTAGTGGGGGAGGGGTGGTGAGGTCGCTCCCGATACACATACTTGTACATTTTGGAAATAAAGAATTGAAGGAATAAGTTTACATCTATGTATTGCTTGTGCCGCTAAGATAAGACATCTTATTAAGTAATGCCCGATCGGCAGAACGGATGAGTTAAAGAGTAAAACGATTTTTATCATCGTGCCCCTTTGTGAGCCTGTGACTTTTTCAATTTTGCACATTTTTTTTTAAAAAATAAGCAATGAATAGGTAGCCATATTAATGGTTTACGATAATATATGTGCACATATGTTGTACGATTTGTGAATGAGTTGTTATATTATTCTACCTTGCACAAATGTATTTTATTTAACTGCGTAAGAGTACGTAGTACAGCTTTGCACGTAAAGATGTGTTTATTCAATGCATTTTTTTCTTTTTTTTTCCTTTTTTTTTTACCATGGCATTTATCATGTTTTCATGGCACTACACGAAAGATTTTGATATGTATACAAATTGGGCGTTTTCATGGTAAATGTATTCCACGCTTTTTATAAAAAATGGGAAGATATCAACCTATTTAGCGTCGTTCGTCTTTCACCTAGCATGGTTTGCACAGTACAATCAGGGAAGGTAAAGAATCCATTGCTGCGTGGGTTTTCTTCTCTTTTATGAAGTTGTATTAGTTGCCAACCCAGAGGAGGAGTAATACGAAATGGGAAGAAATAGAAGAGGTGTTCAGCATTTTCTCGCAGAATGATTTGTATTCACTTTTTTCAATTTGGTCAAGGAATATTATGCTAAGGCGAACCGATAACAATATTGATAAGGTAAAGAAGTTCTTAATATCAATAGGGAAGAAAAATGTTACTTATATTTGGAACAACAATTTACGGGAGAGCTGTTGTATTTACATACTGCGTAATGCTATACCTTTTATTACTTGTCGAATATAAACACGAGTGTCCTTAAAATTGCAAAAATCGCTGAACTCTGCCATCATCTGGATTCATAATAGGGTGTATACCAACGTGCAGAATATTACATGCGGATTTCTTTTGTGTTGATTTTTTCTGAAAGGGTGACAGTTAGTGGCTACCCAAAAAGAAAAAAAGCGATTAGATTTAACCTACAGAGGTGGGGCACCTGGAACGAGTGCAAATAAATATATGCTAAAAAGGGAGCCTGCAACAGAGTGGGCATTTGGAGAAATGTAAACCAAATATGAAGAAATATAAGAGACAAATGATGAACTCCAAAATGCTACTCTGTGAAATGTTCCTTTAGCGCTTTGGAGACATAGACGATTTGTGAGAAATAAAAGGGGAGATAATGAATTGATATAGAGAAGTTTTAATTCCCTAATTTTGGAAGCTCTATTCATCATAATAACATCACTGGTAGTTGTTTTTCTAATTGTTAACGTGGTATATCCGTTTTGTAGGCAAATTTGCGAATTGCACTGTTGACTTAATAGTGAAGACGAAGGCGGAGCTCTTCCCTCAATAGAGCCCAATAAGAATGAGCAATAGCGGTTATTAAAATATGAATATTTTTATTTATTTAGAAATGAGATAATAGTTGCTTTGATGGCTATATTTTTTTTTGCACTACTACATTATGTTGTGGGCTAAGAAAGAAGATTTATCATTCAAGAATGGGGATGGATAGAAATAATCTGCAACCTACAGCTATGGAGAGAGCACCATTGGAAGCACTAAAAATTCGAAGTAAAGAAAAAACTGTTTCGTAATACATATTAGCGTACCTTATATGTGAAGCAATTACAAATTATTGGTTACCGTGAACGGCGCGGAAGCTACGAATACGACGTAGGCTTTCTAATTTTGTCAAAAATACATGCAACAGTGTTTTTTTTTAAATGCATTTTATTTTTGATATCACGATTTAGGGATTAATATTCTTTATCCGCATGTTCTTGTTCTACTTTTTCTTCTTTTTTTGCGTACCTTTGGGGCCGTACAAGTTTGGTCCTAATTATTAATTCTTATAAAAAGAGTTGCAAAATGAATGAAAAAATTTGGCATCTTGTGAAATGTAGGGATTAGATATTTTTCTTCATTTAAAGGGGCTAAAAATTATGATATATATTTCTGTAAAAATATAGACATACTTGGGGTTTGTATGCACCATCTAAATGTAGTTATCAAATGAAGTTTAAATTAAAAAAAAAAAAAAACAAAATCGTGTTCATTTCAGGACTAAAAATAGAGCACAAAAAAAAAAAAAGAAAGAAAACGATATTTTGGCATGTCATGCTTTTTCATGCAAATTATTTATAGATCATTTGTACGTTTTTATGAAGCAAAAAATTTTTAGGACAAAAATCACGTTGGGTTCAGTTTCGTTTTCTTTCATCCTTTAAATTGCTCAGAATTGTTCGTAATGCGCGATACTTTTAAATAAGATTACAACAGATGATTATACATCGTATCCTATCTTGCCAAGCTTTTTAAATAAAGACGAAATAAAAACTCGTAATGTTATGCGTTCGTGCATTTTTATCTGCATTTTGCATTCCAAAAATTCGTTTCAAATAATCCTCTCTTTTGTTTTTAATTTAAATTCAGCGCTGGAAGTTTTTTGAAACGAAGGGATAAGTTTATGGTGTCTTTGCTTTTTCTTTACAAAAGAAGTTAGAAGAAAAAATAGAGTTCATTTTAAATCATAAAAAATTTATTTCGATGCATATTTGAAATATAATTTTTTTCTTTTTTTTAGAGCGATTTTTTTAATCGTATTTTTTAATTGTATTTTTTTAATGGTACTTTTTCCTTTTATTTTTTTTATAAAATATAATTATTTTTTCCAAATTTTTAATTTTTTACATCATTATTTCTTTTTAACTGTTAATATATGAGCTTAATAACAGATTGTAATTTTCTGGAATTTGAAAGGACAGTTTTGTTTAAACAAAACAAGATATAGAAAGCCGAGGATTTTTAAGCTTTCTCTCGTGCTTAGCTTTGCAAACATAAATCGAACTATAAAACCTTTCACCTTAAATACAGAATGGTCAACTCAAAGAATAATAACTCGGGAAAGAAGACTTTTGGCGTTTCTTTTGTTACCAGATTTGCCATATTTTCTGTTTTCGTTGGGACCTTAAACACTTTTACTTTTGTAAGAAAATAAAAAAATGAAAGATATGCATGGATTGAACATACATATACATATTTGTATAAACAGCACAAACGGGAGATAGAAAACGACATGTGCGTTTGTGCAGAATGCTTCCCCCATTCCCACTCCACGTAGTGCTAAAAAATTACATAGAGAAATGTACATAGTGGGTGTCCGAGGCGCGGAGGTGATTATATGTAACTTAATGTGCATACTTATATGCAGTAATTCCATGTATACAGGTGTTTTATGTCTATAATGTTTTTTTCTTCTCCCCCGGTAGAGTAACAATGGCGATTGCTCAAACAGGCAAGTTACCGTAGGATCCATGTCAAGCGCACAATACAACAGATGCTTAGCGGAAAAAGGAGAACCATCAGCATCTTTTGCGTACGGTAAAACAAGCAAAGATGAATCAAGTAAAAAGAAGAAACATTCCAAAAAAAGCAGCAAAAAAAGTGAATACCCATCAGAAGACGAAGCACCCTGCCCTAACTTTGGCCAAGAAATTAACGAAGAAGAAATAGAGCACCTAGGAAACATATTTCAAGAATTATCAGAGAAGGTAAATGTGGCAGATTATCTAAAACAACATGAAGGACAGATGGAGGAATTTGCAAAGAAATTTGAAGAAGGTGATGAGGAAAGTCTCAAAATGGAAGTCTGTATAAATTTATTTGAAAATTTGACAGATTCTTTGATAGAGGCATATGCTAAAGATACAAGTGAGGAAAAGAAAATGAAAATGAAGAAAAATGCCCAAAAAACTACTAACAAGTTGCTTAAGTACTGTTTGAAAGAGCAGAAAAAACATAACAAAAATAAGGAAAAGGAAAAGGAAAAGGAAAAACGGAGTAAAAAATAAACGACCTCTTTTGCTCCTCCCACATTGTTGTATACGACAAATAAAAAATGCACAGTGGATTGTAATTATACAGGGTGCGAGGTGAGGAGGAGGAAGAAATGCGGAAGACTCAACCAGTAGAGGTTCCTTTCAACGTATTGTTAATTATGTGCATGCTTAAATAAATACGAAGTTAGCCGAATCCTAATTTTCTTGTTGCTGCTGATACTGTAATTTCCGCCTCCGTCTTCTTAAAACTGAGATGATAACTGCACAATTTTGAGACAAATACATGCCATAGTAGATAGAGTAAACAACTACTATAGGTGTGGCAGTGCAGACATCTGATTTGTGTTCTTTTTAACTTTGAAAAATGTTTTCATATTCCTTTTTATGTTTTTTATATATGCATATATATACTGAGCTTTCAATTTCTTTTTTTTTTTCATATATTAGCAGTATGGGCGGCAGACACATGTTTTGTTTATCAACGAATATATATATATTTATACATACCTTCTTGTTTAGGGAAAAAATAAATTTTCCCCCTTTTTGTTACTTCTTTCGTGTTTGTTATTTAGTTTCCATGCACCTGCATATGCTTAAATGATGATCCCCAAGACATTTCTCCCTTTTGTGCATATGTGCGTGTATATATATACGCATCTCATGTTTTTAAGTACATACACGCATCTACTGAAGAAATTACCTCCAATGTATATATCATTTTATATGATTATAACCTATTGATGAATTAATTCGTATCAATTAAATTACCAATGAGAAACGACCCCCCCCCCGCTTTGGGCTCCCCCTCCCTGGTAAAATGAGAGAGCTACAGTCCGATTTCTATAATCACCTGTGAATGAGGGGCAAAAAAATATTCATTCGTCATTTAAGGACACGAACATGCGTTGGAGCTATTTTGTAATATATTATTTATTTTTACTTTTAACTCATTTTTAAGAAATAATTCTTTTCAATAGTTCTGAACAGAGAGAAGGGGTGGTCCAACTAACGGTACGGAAAAACAAACCTTTGAAAAATGGGTAACACAAATGAAAAACTCCTCCGTGGTTCTATTTTCAACGCGATGAAGCTGGTTACTGTGTAGCATCTTGAAATTTTCTCCTTACAACAGTGCATCGGTTAATTGTTTCATGACATACGTGTAAAAGGACACTCTTGTTTTTCTTTAATTTGTGTGTGTGTTGTTAGTAGCACTAAAGGGGAAGTGAGATGCTGCACGTGTATATGTACACATTTATGCGTCGTGGGGAGGCCGGCCTAGGTAAAGCACACATTTAAGCACTTATGCGCCAAGTGCAATGTGCTTTTTCCGTCCTACCCGTGTAACCCTTTCTGCACCTTCTATGTATATGTCTATATGCACCTCCAATAGTGGGAATCTGTTTTTTTTTTTTTTTTTGAACGTACTTTTTGTATAGTTAGCTGTTTATGTAACGGTAGTACTTTATGCTCTCACCGGAATGTCCTTTTGGCGAAATGGATCCTTTTTTTTTACTTTACATCAACGTATTGCGTAATTTTTGGTATAAAAAAAGTGATGGGATAAACTGTAATGTTTACAAAATATTGGATCTCTCCTCATATCATCCATGAGTTCCAGTGAACAAAGTAAAACCTCATTAAAAAATTTTGACTGACCAAATAGAGTTAGCAAAATTGTTGTGTTTTCAACTTTGTCTTTTTTTTCTTATTAGGCAAGCGCGTGTAGAAATTAAGGACAGTAAGGCATATCAATGGCTGAGGCGCGCATATGTTCTGTCCGAGTATGTGTTCCATATAAGTGTTAATAAACTAATTTCCTTGCCATATAACAACGTAGTTTGGATAGCATGATACGAAAACAATGTCAATTTATTTCAGTTGGGTTAATTTTAAAAATGTTTAAACTACCTGTGCGATTAAGAAAAAGGGAAGGTAGCATTTGTGGCTTAATGTGATGTGCTTATGCGAAGCCTGCCATTCGCTCAGCTGCTTAACTGTTTAGCTGCTCCCCTCCTTTAGATGTTCACTTGCTATCACGCTAGGCTTATGTTGCTAGTCGAGGAGCCATTCAATCCACTGTTTAGTAGGCCCTTCTTTCGTATGCAAACCATGTAGCCCGCAAGTCTAAAATGGTCTACGTGGAATACCATTTTTTATAATTAAAATGTTCCATCAAAAAATGGTGCCAATTTTCATTTTTCTTTTTATTTCTCCCCGACCCTGCTTATTTCGCCAGAAGGTAAATTCAAAGGAAGAGCAGGACATGCCAACGTGATAACATTGCACATGTGTATTTTCCATTCGGTGCCCTATCTAGGTATCACGTCATAATAACACTGCATCATGTAGGCTACACGGTTCTCGCAATTTTATACATCTAGAAAGTGAGCTATCACAGTTGAGTTCTAAGTGCAAAGACCTCTAGCAGCACTTTCATTTTTTCAATTACGTAATTTATAAAATGACAGAAGGGAAGAGGGGGTCTGGGTAAAACTGGTGCACAGGTACCAATTGATGGTTCTTCCACATGAGTATTAGGTTATAATGTGCTGTTCATTTGCCTAAATGCACAATAGAGAAAATAGCACACTGTCGAGTTAGTGATGCGTGAAAAAACAGGAATGGTCCTTTAAAAAATAAGAGTATCAAATATGAAGAGGCAAGAGGTGATAAGTAGGTATCGCATAAAGTTTAGATCCTTTATATGCCCGTAATTAACGAGTTAAGGTAAAATGGTAACCAATACTCTTTTGCTACTGGAGTGATCAGAATCATTCTGTTTTATGATGCACTGCTTTTTCCAACGGTCCAAATGTATCAACTGAAAGATGACAGACATGGTCAGGTTATATCTCCACTGCAGATGAAAGTGCACATTGTTACTAAATGACTAATATACTATGTGAAACTGTGAAGACAATATAGTAGGGTGTCATAGCAGAATGATACCCTTCTCCGCTTTCGTTACAATTTGTTTATGTTGTGCCCCTTGTCGCTCTGGGTGTTAATGCTTGACTGAACAAATTTTTCTTAATTAATATGTAGTCTTATTAATATCTAATTTGCTCGCTGCGTGCACTAAAGTAGAAAAGATCAATGTGTTATTTTGTAACATTATATATCATTCGGAATTTTCATGTGTAATTCTAAAAAAAATATATGTATATAAATTATGTAAAAAGAATAGTATAAATAGAAATAAGACAAATAGCAAAATTGTTGTTTTCTTGTTAATCTAATTAAAAATCTTAAATATTTGAGGTTCTCTTACAAACACTTAATAAAGTTGTAACATCAGGCATAAGGATAAATGTAAATAAAAATATATAGATATATACATACACCTCCATACCTAAATATATATACATAAATCTTGTATACCTAAATATATATACATAAATCTTGTGTACCTAAATATATATACATACATAAAAAAATTAATATATAAATACATATAGTATATATATGCAACATGCGAATCCTTTTAAAACATACTTGTTCCGGCAACGATTATAGAAGATTAATAATTTAAATGTATAGTCACGATTATAAATGATCTTTGAAATTTATGGAAAAGACAAGTAGTGATAAAGGTATCTTTATCTTTCCTTCCTTTTACATAAATGTAACAAGAAAAAAAAAAAAAAGGGCTTTGAAGATTATAATTTTTAAGTGGTAATCTGATATTGGTGTGTGTACATATATATATACATTTGGGGGGTAATGTACTATTAAATTATAGAAATATTCAAGGCTATATATATGATACATTTTATTCAATTTAAATATTTCTTGTTGTACTTATACTTCCACTTGTTGTTGTTGTTCTTTTTCTTCTTCTTTTTTTTTTTTTTAATCCATGTAGTGCCTCATTGATCTTCTTGCAATTTTTTTATTGATTCCGTAACGAATGAACCATCTTCGGCACTTTTTCCATTTACGGGCTACATAATATATTGATAAGAGCAAAAGAGTCTCAGCTGCTATCAAAGCATAATGTGATGAGGTCATTAGACATAGAATTATCAAGATGATGTTTACGATTATTGGGGAAAGAAGACTAACAAGTTTGGTGTATTTTTTTCTAGCAGATTGTCCATCATTCATGTCATCTCTTTGCTTTGTGGACATGAATTCGAGTAGTTCGGCTTCGTACATGGCATCACATTTTTTGAAGAATTTTCTTAGGGATGTTTGTGGAGATTTTTCTTGTTTACTTTCTTGGGGTAAGTAAAGGTAATCATATTCTGATTTTTTTGATTTTCTTCTTTTGAAATATCTAACTAATTCGTCATCAGAGGAGTCAGTACATTTGAAGGTTACATCAGGTTGATCTTCATTAATATATTCTTCACTGTCATATAAAGATTCATATGATGTTTGAGTTTCGTCATCAGAAGGCTCTTCGCTTGCTAATGTAAATGTATCTGCAGTTTGATAAGTGTAGTGTGATGCATCATCGCAGAATGAATTGTATGAGAGTGATTCTCTAGAATTGCCAATATCATCATATTTCTGTGAGCTTCTAGAACTTCTGGAGCTTCTGGAGGTTCTGGAACTTCTGGAGCTTTTGGAGCTTCTAGAACTTCTGAAGCTTCTCGTTGTACCCGAAGATATCTCTGAGTATGATCCTGCTATGCTTGGGCTGTATTTGAATTCTGATGGATCTCTTCTTCCCTTCGAGATGCTTCGAGTACTAAACATATCGGATGATTTCCCTAACTTTTCTATTTTCATTAAGGATTTAAATTCGTTCCTAAAGTTATCATCATCATCTTGTCTAAGTAATTTTAGTCTGGATTCAAAATGGTCATCATCTTCGTTTTCGACATCTAACAGTTTTCCCTTGATGGAATCATATTTCCATTGATCGAACACATCCGCTTCTCCCCTTAGTATCCTACAACCCCTAGTATATACAGTGGTGCTCTGTGAGAATTGAGGATCGAAGGAGTTAGCGATGGAAGGAGTCTGTAAGGCGCGTAGAATACGTATAAGAAGTGTATAATGTATGGGGGATGCACATATTAGCACATGCATGCGTAGGAGTCAAAATACTAGCCACGTAACAATGCGCAGGAGGGCAGATGTCAATCAGTCACTTATGTGTATAGGTGCAAATCCGAATGTATACAAATATCAATGGGAAATACTCATTTCTGCGTGCATATAAATGTATTATCAATGGAAAAACAAGGCAGAGTGGGGAGAGAAATGCACTAATTCGTTAGATGTGAATGACAGAGATTCATTACCCCATTAGAATAGTACTTCCAGGTCCATATTAACACATTGTATGTGAAGACTTTAAAAAGAGAAAATTGATTGCTTTGTTCCTTCATTTCTTTGCATTTTCTTTAATATTCTAAGGAAACTTTACTATCAAGAAAGAAAAAAAAAATTAGAAATGTGAATAGTTAGTAGGGACTAGGGATAAAGTATAATGTACTGAAGTAAATTTTTTTATTTTTTCGCTCTGTTTATATATTATAAAATTCTAGGAAACGTTTATGTATTCATGTAATTTATTTCCAACCTCTATTTTCACGAATTGAAAATGAACCTTTTCTTAAAATACGCACTAGCGTAACTTCTCAGTTTTAGTCAATGGTAAAAATAGTATAATAAAAAATTAAAATGTTTTGCATAGTAAATTTCCTATGAAAATATCACTATTAATTTAAAATATAATTTTTTTCAATTGAATATGCAATAATAACACTTGCATAAATTTTACTAAAAGGTACAGCACATGGAAATTATGCAGAAAATGTTCCTTTCTCAGTATAACTATGTTTTATAAATAATTTTTTTCTCTAAATATAAAATATATAATTTTGATGTATGTATGTATACACTTTGACCATATGGGAATAATTACAGTAGTAAAATTTTACATTCCTTTAAAATATATAAATTGGATTAAAAAATTTTCACCAAATATAAAAATATTGTATGATTCATTCTTCTGTGGAAATTATAGGGGGAATATGGCATAATTATATTATTTTTTTAGTGAAATTTTCTTTTTCTTAAAAATTAGAAAATAAAAGAAAAGAAAGGTAAAATGCAATTTTTTAAAAATAAAAAATTTCACATTGTCAACGAATTGTTCGAAAAAAAAGAAAAGAGAATAAGGAGTGAAGTGAAGGAGTATAAGATGATAATCGTTTTGAAGTGCTATATCGCATAAAGGGGTATAAATTACGAAGAAATATAAATAAAAGTATACATTTAATAATCGATTAGAATTAAGAAATTTATGTTTTCTCACATTTTAAGCTAAGAATGGTAATGATTAATAGGAAGCAAAAAAATTGTAGAATATCTTAATTTCTCTACCTGCGATTTTTGCGTTTTTAAATAACTTTTTATTAGTCAATGTGAAAGTAAATGTTTTATTATTTTTTCCGTTAGTCGGATGAGGAAAAGCTCAGCCATCCCACTCTTTACAGTCCCGGAAAATATCACTTGTACGTATGACAATGTAGTAAAAAGGCATCTCCACTAAAGCAACGCGCATAATTTAAAAAAAAAAACACCTATAGTACGCATATATATGTATATATTATATAGAATAATGAATTAAAATGGCGCGTAAGTTTATTTTACGAATGCCCTTCGATTAGTCTATAGTTAAAAGTGAACTGGAAAAATTAATTAAAAGATACTTATAACAAAACGAGGGGGAAATGGAAAGATGCTACCACAGAGTGAACAGTTAGTGGCTATCTTTTTCATCTAAGTAATTGAAGATGTCATTAGGTAGTTAAAATTCTATGTAGAAAAATGGAAAAAAATAAAGAACGATTAAAAATTTAATCCTTCAAGAAGAAATAAACACTGTTGGTTGTGTAATGGCACAGAGAGGAAATGTTTTGCGACGTTATGCGATAGTAATCAACTAATTCATAATTTTACTAGAATGTTAATTTTTTATTAGTAATGTGAACCTGCATTTAGCGTAGAATAATTTCCTGTTCAGGTAATCCATTTAATGACGCATAAAGGTTAAGTTTAAGGCAAATCGCGCACATAAAATGTGTCCGCATTTCCCTGGTCCCCCAAGGGCGCACAATTAGGTAATAAGAAGTCACATCCTCAATGTAGGTCTTCAGTATGTATGCTACGTGGACTAATAAAAGCGTACGTGTATTTATATGCACATATATTAATATGTAAGGCATGTGAAAAATAAACTCAGGGAGGTTTTTAACAATAAAAGTGATGACTTTCCGTGTTCTGGGATGGCACTTGGACTAGGGAATCGCCCCCTAACGTTATTTAAAAGGCGAAGGAATTAGATATCTTCACATATATATACATGTATATGCAGTTTTATCTACCTTCCGTTCCATTTCGTTCAGTAATTTTTACTCCAATCGGAGCCTATGAAAAATGAGCACATTTTTCGCGTTCGGCTGCTTTCTTGAGGCGTTATCAACTGTTTACGGCATTTCGGAAATTTCATGAATTTCCGAGGGAACATTTTGAGATAACTATAAATGAAATGTTGTGCAAACTTTTAGAAAGGGTCATTAGGTAGTGTTTTTATTTAGGAGTTCACTCGTTTGTGATGAATAAATTAGAGACGCTATCTTCTTAGTAGGCAATTCCTTTCACTTGGCGTTTAGCTATAATGGAAGATTTAAAGTCTGGTCGCTTTAAACTTGATTCAGTGTTTTCCCTCAAATAGGGAATGTTCTAATTTGTGTCTGCTTAACAATTTGATCCTTGAGATTGGAAACAAGGGGAGATTTAGGTATGTCCCACCTCCTCAGAAAAGTGCAGAGGCCTCACCTAAAAGTAATTCGAATATTAATCGCTATGTCTTAATTTTTTAGATTCTGTCATTAATGAGAACACGTCACCGGCATGTATAATTATGTTTTCCTGACCCTTAATTATAACGATAATGGAAAAGGAGTATAAAGAAAGTATATATTAAATTTTTAACCATCGGTGCGTTTTTACTTTTGACTTTTTCGAAAAGAAGTTTGAATGTTTTAATCGATCCTTTGCTTTTTCCGCTTATATATTAATAACGTGCAGCGTAAATACAAATATTGGATGTGCGTCATTAAGGTATGAACAGAGGATGCTTAAAAAGGGGCATTTTTATTTTAAGCTTTGTCTCTTGTTGTTGTGTAAATGGCACTTCTAAGAGGTGCACTTTGGGTCCAAATTGTTTTATGTCATATGTGCTACAGAGTGGTGCATATAGAAAAGACACATCTATTAGGTGATTTGCTAAAATGCTACTGTGCTTATGAGTGCTTACCATACGTTTATTGGGTGAACGATTTAGCTATTCCCTACTTGGCTAATATGAAGACTTCGCTGATTATTGAAACTAAATAGAGCTACCCTCTTTTGAACAAATGTTTATGTACCCCTATCTTTGTATTATTTCAAATACGTTTTATAATCTTACGTGTGAAACCTTAAACAGTAGAAAACCTTATGGTAAGATGATCATTAAATGATTGATGCGCTCATGTGAGGCACATATTTCATAAAGGTGAAAGACGGGGACTTGCAATGAACGTAATTGCACAGTGTTCCTCTAAGAAAGTATACAATTAGTAACATTTCTGCTATTCCTATAGCGTTACAGAATAGGAGATTTGTATTATCCCCACAGTGGATATCACCTTTTTGAGATTAACCAGAAAATGAGGCATTCCCCCCCTTTTAACTATTCCGTGGGGAGAGTAATTACATTGCGTTTTTGCAATTACCCGTTTGAGTGTCTATCGTGATGTGGAAAGGAAAATTCGTTCAGAATGATCACGAGACATGAATTATTGCAAACGACGTAAATTTAAAAGTTTGTCATTTGATTAGTCTGTTCGCATGGTGTGGTACAGTATATATTTTTTTTCACAATTTTTTGAAGTGCGGAAGTGTGAATAAATGTGCTAAGGAATTTCTCCTCTCGGAAAAAAAAAAAATATCACTAACCTTATCCTTTCCTACTCAAAGAAATGGTCATTATTTATTGCGCTAAGTTTGAGGTAAAACAGGAAAAAGTGATACAAAAATTAAAGAAATTTTTTTTAACAGGACATTGTACCGAGGAGTGACCTGTTTGGCCATTTGTATGTGCAAATTATGGAACCATTTTTAAATATTTACAGAATTTGATAAATCTGTGTCTAATTTGGGAAAAATGGCTAAATATACGATATGGTTACTTTGCCAGGAAAATAAAAAAAAAAAATGTACACATTTTTCTACCGCTGAAGGAAGATACCTACAATTATCTTAAATTTCAAAGGAACAAGGAAAATTGTAAAAATGTAAAAATCTTTAACGTTTCCAAAGCATTAAGACATTGTAGTACTTTTGTTTGTAATTACAATATTACTATGATTAGGTAATTATTCAAACTCGGCACACACCAGAATAGTGTATACTTATGGCACTTGCTAAAGTCGTGATTGAACGTGACGTACATTTCCAGATAATAAATGATACAAATGGGAATAAGAAGCAAAGCAATGGTTACGTCAAAATGTGAAATGCTTAATTTCTAATTCTATATGGAGGTATTAAACAAGCGTTTATTATGAGGTCTTCCTGCTCAGAGCGCATGATTGGTAGCATGTAATAACTCCTTGTCAATCAGGCCGTATTCAGTACACCATAAAGGTAGCACAATATTTTGGCAAAATCATGTGTATGCAATACATAAAGATGATAGTTCATGGGAATTCACAATTTTCTATTAAAGAATTCATACATCGAATGATGATAATTTTTACGTTTTCTGAATACCTAACCTTTTTACGGAATAGTGAACAGGAAAGGTAGACATAATAATTTGATCTAAATGTTATGAAGGTTGTATTTTTCCTTATTATGATTATTTAAAAATGAGTTTTATTCGAATTAATAATTTACGTGCTGGTGTGGTAAGTACGTATATATAGATGTGTGCCTATCCGCACATTCTCTAATTTTTTGCTGATTCGTTCAAAGAAGGACGAACAAAATTTGAACACACTTTGTTAAGCCCCTGGGATAATAATGATAATAATAATAACAGCAACGAAAGCAGACATCAATTGAGCAGTAATATTCTCAGAGGGGTAAAGATGTGTCTACATATATAAATGCCTATCTTATTCTCACTGTCAGCTTAACGAAGGCAATAGTGTCGCGGCAAGAGAACAATTAATGAACAAAGAAATAACATCAATAGCGTATCGATCAATTTCCCATTAATTTACACGTGCATGTTGGAAAGGGCACTTATTACTAAGGGCACCAGAAAGTTGGAAACAGACATACGTACAAGTTGGACATGTGAAAAGTTGTAAAATTGTGTACGTCAAAG